ATTAGATTATCTATTGCCTGTGTTTTTGTGCATGTAGTTATGTTCCTTGGGTTGGATTCTTCCTTCCAGAACCTTCTGTAGTGCTGGATTCGTGGATATGTATTGTTTAAATCTGTTTTTGTCATGGAATATCTTGTTTTCTCCATCTATAATGATTGAAAGTTTTGCTGGGTACAGTAGTTTGGGTTGACATCCATGCTGCTTTAGTGCTTGTAGGGTATCTGTCCAAGACCTTCTGGCTTTCAGAGTTTCCATTGGGAAGTCGGGTGTGGTTCTGATTGATTTGCCTTTATATGTTACTTGGCCTTTTTCCTTTGCAGCTCTTAATATTTTCTCTTTATTCTGTAGATTTGGAGTTTTGATTATTATGTGTCAGGGGGACTTCTTTTTGTGGTCCAGTCTGTTTGGTGTCCTATAAGCTTCTTGTACTTTCATAGGCATATGTTTCTGTAGGTTGGGGAAGTTTTCTTCTATGATTTTGTTGAATATGTTTTCTGTACCTTTGAGCAGTGTTTCTTCACCTTCTTCTACACCTATTATTCTTAGGTTTGGTCTTTTCACGGTGTCCCATATTTCCTGGATATTTTGTGTTAGGTTTTTGTTGGACTTGAGGTTTTCTTTGGTTGATGAATGTATATACTCTAGGCAGTCTTCAATAGCTGAGATTCTCTCTTCTGTCTCTTGGATTCTATTAGTTATACTCAAGTCTTTAGATCCTGATTGTTTATCCAGTCTTTCCATTTCCAGCATCGCCTCATTCTGTGTTTTCTTTATTGTGTCTAATTCAGCTTTCATGCTTTGAACTGTTTCAAGAGCTTCCTTCACTTGTTTGGTTATTTTATCTTGGGTTTCTTTAGCTTCTTTAAGAGATTTGTTTATTGCTTGAATTTTTTTGTTTGTCTTTTCCTCTATTTCGTGTAAATTTTTGCTTGCTTTTTCTTCTATTTCTTTAAGGGATTTTCTTGTTTCCTCTTTGAAGGTCTCTATCATCTTGCTGAGATAATTTTTGAGGTCCATCTCATCTTCATGCACTATGTTGGGCTTTTCAGGTCTTGCTGGAGTGGAGTCCCTAGATTCTGGTGGTGTCATATTGGTCTTTCTGTTGTTAAGTGAGTTCTTATTCTGTCTTCTTCCATATCTTTTCCCAGTGAGTGCAGGCGGGGTCTGGGGGTGGGACAGAAAGTAAGAGTGGGGTGTTTCCAGGCTCTGGGGGTTCCTCACTGCCTGGGCAGGTCTACCCCAAGCAGGAGCAGGCCCAGGGTCTCGGGATGGATGGGGCTTTGATAGGGAGTTGGGTAAGAGCGGTGGATCACTCACCTCCTGGCAGATTGGTCACCGGGAACGGAAGGAAGAGTGGCCTGTACCCAGATTCAGGGAGCTCCTCCCTGCCTGGGTGTGTCTGTTTCAAGCAGGGACAAGCTTGGAGGGATCTGGGCGGATGGTGCTTAGGACAGAAGTTGGGTAAAAGCAGGGGGTCGCTCACCTGGTCTGGACTGTGATGAGTCGGCGGAAAGGGAAGGAAGAGTGGCCTGTACCCAGATTCCGGGAGCTCCTCCCTGCCTGGGTGTGTCTGTTTCAAGCAGGGACAAGCCTGGGGGGATCTGGGTGGATGGCGCTTAGGACAGAGGTTGGGTAAAAGCAGGGGATCGCTCACCTGGTCTGATCTGTGATGAGTCGGCGGAAAGGGCTATTAATTTGAGTTTTATCACTATATTTTTTGTTAATTTTTCTAAGAGTTTATCAATGTTATTGATTTTCTCAAAAAAAAAAACAACCCAGCACTTTGGGTGGCATTGCTTCCTACACATTGATGAACTTCATTGATCTTTGTATTTACTTGTTGGTGGAACCTACTATGTTTTATCCTTGTACTATATTTTGTACTTAATAAAAAGGCAAAAACAATATAACCACATGATTTATTCTCAGAGGGTCTGTAGAGACCCTGTGATAAATTGAATCAGAAATAAGCTATAGGAGAGAAAAACCAAATAAAACAAGAGGGTGCAGATGAGTTAGGAATCTTCACTGTCCCCAGGAGAGAACTCTGCAGGAAGGTGACATTTGAGAAATTGAATGGCATGAGGAAAATGTCTGGGAAACGCTATGAGAAGGAACTACAACTAGTACAGGGCTCGGAAGAAACAGCTGATATTTCTTACTTCTCCAATATTGTGATTATAGCTGGAGTAGGTGAATGATAGAGAAAAGACCAGATGACTGTATGTGACAAGAGAGGAGAAAGTATTTCAGGCACTTTGCATTTCCTGAGAGAAACTTTGAATTTTAGAGAATCAAAGTGTTTTAAGCACACTGGCATGATGAGATTCATATTAGAACACATAAAATCACACAAGCATTTATCTATACTTATATTACTGGTATAATTGCATGCTTATAATTATAATTTCATAACTCCGAAGTCCAAAGTAGGGATAGCTCAAATTTGAGACCAGTCTTGTCTATATAAAAAAACTACACACTATCTCTGTAACACAAAAACTGCTCTAATGTGGGAAAGAGAAGAGGACTTGGAAGGGATAGATAATGTGTACATAACTGGAGCAGCTATAGAGAGGGGAAGAGCAGATATAAAATGGAAAGCATCATCAGTTTTTTATGCTCTAACATTATTAACTTCTGAGAAGACCAGCCATAACTACCAACAGTTTTTAAAAAATAATAAAGCATTTAGATGAATTAAATACATCTGATTTTCATGTCTTTCTTACAAGATTCAGGAAGCTTAATAAGCACTCTTTGCTACATTTCAACTTTAGGTAGAAACTACAGAAGCAGAAGGAGGAAAAGGTACAAACCCCCTGTATGAAATGCCTTTTGATGAAGAAGCATCTGCCCAGTCCTTTCGGGAAGCCTTAACTCAGTGGCGAGCTGGACAACAGAAAGAAAACAAACAACAGGACTCACATGCAAAAAAACCAGGTATGGTCATTGTTCAAATATTCATACAACAAAGTAAAGGAATCTCATTTATTTCCACTCCTGGTAATACAAAGGCAATGCTTAAAAACAATAAAGATCAATTTGCTACAGCTTCTCAAGGGAGCTTTGTGTACATACTAGGCAGTCAGTGGTGAGTTGTTTAATATTTATAAAGCATGAATTGATCATGGGGATGTTTACCTTGGTTTTCTATGTAAATTCAGGTCATGAGCTGAATGGAGCATTGAAGTCTCAGCTTTTCTTTTCCTGCAAGGAAACATTCATTAGAAAATAATGAAAACAATTCCATTTTATATCTACTGTTGCAATATAACATGTGGGGGAATGTGTGGGGCATGAAATCAAATGATTCTTGCATTATATGCAAGAATATGCATTAGATGAGTAACTTTCCTTTTCAGTGTGACCAAATCTCTGACAAAGCAACCTAAAGGAGGAACAGTTTATTTTGGCTCAGAGTTGGAGATGATTCAGCTCATCAAAATAAGGAAGACAGCAGCAGGTGGCTTCAAGGCCACAGAGGAAGATGGGTGGACTCCTTATTTCTTACATCACCATAGAAGAGGCAACAGAGACAAAACAGGAAGTAGAATGATGCTACACACCTCATAGCATGCTTCCAGGAGATTCAGTTCTTCCAGTGAGGCCTCAACTTCCCCAAATTGCACAGCCTCCAAAACAGCATTGTGAGCTGAGTGGGTGGGAGAGCAAATGTTTGCAAGTAAACCATAATCCATAACTTGCAGGTTGAATACATGACCACAGTGACCCTCACAGAAAGAATAGGTTTTTGGTTTTGTTTGCAGTATTATTATCTTTCTTTCTTTTAAAAATTCTCTTCATGATTTTTTCTTTCACTTTTTGGTTCACAAATAAAATAATGGATTTCTTTGAAACATATTCATACAAACTGTACTGGGTAGTTTTTTTGTCAACTTGACACAAACTAGAATTATTTGAGAGAAACCAACCTCACATGAGCAAATGCCTCTATCACATTGGGATGTAAGGCAAGTCTACAGGGATTTTTCCAAATTACTTATTGATGTAGGAAGGCCAGCCCATTGTGAGGGGGGCATCTCTAAGCTGGTTCTATAAGAGATAAGGCTAAGCAAGCCAGAAGGAGTAAACCACTAAGTAGCATTATTCATGGCCTGTACATCAATCAGTTCCTGTTTTCAGGTTCCTGCCCTGTTTGAGTTCATTCCCTGACTTCCTTCATTGCTGAACAGTAGAGTGGAAGTGCAATAAACTTTTTCATCTCGAGCTTGCTTTTGGTTCATCACAGCAATAGTAACACTAAGACAACCTCTACATGAGTAGAATGCAACCAGGATATGCAGTGAAGAAAAGGCAATGCCAAGAACTTCAGAAACATATTTCAATTCCAACTTTGAGTTTATAATGGTTTATTGCACATGAAGTAAAAGATGCAGCCTTGTTTTGATTCTTCATTTTAGGAAATATTTACTCATTTTCCTAGACATAAATATTGAAAGAATCTTGCATTGCAAGTGTTAGAGGTGATATAAAATTTTATACATTAGTGCATAAGAAGTTCCTAGAATGTCCTCTCCCTTTCCCAAACTTTTGTATGCTAAAATGAAATGCCTGAAGCAACTATGTTTTTGAGGATTATGAACAATCTTGTCATCAATAGTTATTCAGTACAAAAGACAATGTTCAGAGGATGACTAAACCACCATAAAGTTTATCATACTAACCACAGTTGCTTTTTAGGTTTTATATCTTTACTGGAAAAATCACAGTATTTGTAACAGAAGAGAAGATCTTGACCTACTACAGAACTCGATAAACATTTGCTGTAAGCAGCTTCAGCTAGTCAACCTTCTGGATAGAGTATGAAAAAGGTCATAGACAACACATGAATAAATGAGTGTACTATTTTGCAATAAAACCTTGTATTTATGAACACACAAATTCTCTCATAGGAGAACTATAGGTCAGATTTGGACTACAAGCTCTATCTTGGTGATTATTGACTCAGTAAATACATTTTCCTACTTCTGTCACTATATATAATCAGAAATACTGGTGTAATTCATGTGGCAAGATTAGGATAGTCCTTCACTGTTTAATTCCAGACTTAAACATTATCTCTCTTAGGGTTTGTAGCATGGCGTAGTCTGCAGCACCTTTTCTTTCCTTGAATCTACCCACAGACATTGACCTGCCATTAGAAGGATGTCTTGAGGCTAATTTGGTGAGCAGAGAACAATGGTCTCACAATAAGAATGGTTATACTGAACATTTTCTATCATGGAAGCTGCAGTGATTTATCTTCATGACAAACACAGATTTGCTTACACTGTCTATAGTGTATGTGTTATGTAAACCATATTTATCATCATAGTACCTCCAGGAAACTGCCTCATATTAAGGCATTAATATTCCTATGAGAAAAGTGCAACTAAACCCATGGAATTCACTGCTCTTACCATGTTCCACATTTCATGGCTGAAAATGTATATGGTGATAATTTACCTATTTTCAATGTTTACCAATCTCTTATTATGTGAATGTGCAACTATTTCTCAATTTAAATGTTGATTATTTTTTAGGACATTTCTCATTTTTGCCATGCCAAACAATACTACTATACGTTTTATTATACAGGTCTTCATATATAATCTGAACATATTTCCAGGGATATGAATAGCTTATAGTAAAACAACTGTGTTATCAGGGATTTATGTCCTCCAATAAACTAGACAAACATGGACTAGCCAGAAAAAGTACTTAAAACAATTTCTACTCCATCTGAAGTATAGAAGAGTTTTTGTTCTCCTTATTTCCATCACTTAATATTTTCAGATACTTACAAATTTGCTTCAATAATGGAGATAAGTACTATTCTTAATACGAATACCTTTAATTGCACATTGCATCAGGAATCTTTGTGTTTAACCAGTGTGTTTTAAACTTCCAGATTCTCCAGCTGTTTCACTCACTGATTTCTGCCTTGATTCATTTTAGTAATACACAAACTCCTTTAGGTGCTTTCCTGGCCCTGGCCTTTGATGTGAGTTAAAGCCCTTTTCTCTCTGACTTCCCTTGCAATGTTCCCACTGGCTTATTTGGTCTCCTCTACCCTGGTCTCCTGAGTGTTCCTCAAATGCTTCAGGCATCCATTTACTTTAGGATTATTGCTTTGTGTATTAAGCAAAACGCCCATGATCTAAATGCGATGAGTGTGAGACAAATTCCTAGAAAAGAAGGCTGCTGAGCCAGAAACAAAGTAAGCAAAGCCCAAGTGACAACTCATGAGACCTCTCTTTGAGGAAGCCACACCTCTCTTTGAGGAAGCCACACCTCATGGCCCTGTATGTCCCAGAATTGACTAGCATGCATGATTTTAGATAAAATATCTTGCTGAACAATTAATTAGCTGAAGGTTCTTCTCCTAGCAAATAGGTATTTGTCATTAGCCACAGTTATCAAAGATACTGAGAAGCACACGAAGCCAGGCTGGGTCTCATCTTTACTTCCTGATATTGTGCCATTGGTGAACGGAGAAAAGTGAACCACGGGCTACTTACTTTAGCTCCCTACTCCTTACCACTTTTTCAGGATTTGGGAGTAATTTCTCAAGTACAGTGGTTCTTGTCTCTGAAAAGAACCAATTTATGTGCCCCTTTTCTTGTTCCCACCTTGAGCTTTTCTGCCTCAATTCTTTTTTTTTTTTGAAGGGGGTTGGTTCGAGACAGGGTTTCTCTGTGGCTTTGGAGTCTGTTCTGGAACTAGGTCTTATAGACCAGGCTGGTCTCGAACTCACAGAGATCTGCCATCCTCTGCCTCCTGAGTTCTGGGATTAAAGATGTGCACCACCACTGCTCTGCTCTGCCTCAATTCTTTTAACTTCAGTAAGACATGTACACAAATGTGCCCCCCATCCCTCCTGCCCATCCAATCATATGTTCATATTCACAATTTATATTCGTAATTCTTTTCTCTTCTTTCATTTACTAGATTCTAGTTGTTGCTCTCAGAATTTCTTCTCTCTTTTCCTCTATACTACAGTACTCTGAGGAGGATAGCAGTTGAGTAACTCCATTGTTTTGGCTGCTGTCATTTGACTGTTCCTGGATGCTGACCACTAAAGTCAGTGCAGACTCTGAGATTAGGATCAGCTCAGTGTTAGAATCCCTAAAAATTTTGTTTTTAATCTTTACCACTTGCTTTTCCCATTTTTCCCCCAGGATTTTCTTCTGGGGGATGTTACAAGCTAGAAAATGGGGCAGTATCTGTAGGCTGGAAAAGGTACCAGTCCTGGAATTATCTGCTTTCTTTCCTCAGAGCTTCAACACTTTCAAATAGCTCTGAGTGATTTTGTAGTTTGTGGTGTTTCAGAATTAAGAGCATTGGGGTGTAAGTGACTTCAAAGTCAAACATTTGTGGGGATCAATGATCCCTTCATTCTGAATGAGATGTAATTCATATTGAATTATTAATTTTCTATTACCCATCATGTATAAATATTATTAGAAATGGTTGTAATATACACCTTTATTTCTACATGTATGTGCTGTGTATGGAATGTACAGCGACCATATTTACCTGTTTCATTTAAGAGAATGTTGCTTTGGAAAACTTTTGATTCAAGAGATTTTCTTGCTTCAAAACATTTTGAAGATATTGTACACAGTCTCATTTATCAAAACTAATGCTGTAGAAACCCTTTAGCATTATTTACATTTTGGACTTGATATTACATTAATACCACATGTCATAATATAATAATTACAAATGTATTATAAGGATAGGTACAAAAGAACTGATTGCCAGAAATAATTGACTCGCTATCTAAAGGAAAGATAATAATTAATAGGCATGGCTATATTAATTATGTACAGTGTTCATTTTTATAGACTCAGTGGAAGAATGTGAAGTACAAACTAATTTGAAAATTTGGTCTGAACCAATTAATATTGAATTTACAGAAGACAGTCTGTCATACATGGAAAAATTATGGCTTAAAAAACACAGAAGGTATGTTGTAGAATTTTAATATTACTATTTGTTTGGAAATAGAAGTTATTTGTGTTTCTTGTGGGAAAATGCTTAAGGAAGCAATTTATTTATGTTTATATTAAGTATAGGCATGTATTTATACTTAATCCTGTGAAGCTTTGACTTTATTAGCAACAATTTTAACTACTAATATGGTATATTTTAACCTTGAGAAATGGAAAGAGATATGTATATGGAGGAAGGCACCAATAAAAAGCATGGAATTTAAGAATAATAGCAGAATCATTCAATAAATAAAAATTTACTTTAAAAATTTGCTGGCTGGTCAGTGGTGGTGCCGGCCTTTAATCCCAGCCCTTTCGAGGGATTGCCAGGCAGAGCTGTGTGAGTTCAATGTAAGGCTGGTTTACAGAGTGAGTTCCAGAACAGCCAGGGCTATACAAAGTTATCCTGTCTCAAAAACCAACGCTTCCACCCCCCCAAAAAAGAAAAGACAAGACAAAGAGACTTTGCTGTGCTTTAGCACAGATATTTGGGGTTTTATTTTACAAATCTATTAAAATGTATTTTTTAAATTAATTTAAATTGCTTAGTTCTTTAATTTTATTCTATATTTTTATTAATTTGAATCAGTTTATTTTATTCAAAGACCAATGGTCAGATACATGGCTTTGTAATGTGTTTAAAAATCAAACTTGCCATATGAAACATTATAGACAACATTATAGACAAGTAGGTGTTAATAGCATTGATAATTTGAACAACATATAGTTTTAGAGAGTAATAAGCTCAATTTATTAAATAGCAGAGATGCTTACACTTCATTGTTCCTTCCAGTTTTCTAGAAGATGGGGGAAAATGGCATTCTTTAGTAGGTTTGATGCTAAGTATTGGTTTCCTCAGTTCCATTCCCTCCTGAGTAAAAAGGGTGTTCTGACAGTGGCCTTCAATTCACATGTTGAAGGACAAAATGCTAGAAAAACTCCCTAGAATGAAGGTGAAAAGTGATTACAAGGCCTGTGCTTCATCATACAAAAAAATATCTTTTTGAGGTAGCCCATTTCATTGTTGGCATATTCTCAAACATATTTCTTGTGAGTGGTATTCTGCCTCCAACTACTTTCTAAACCTAGTCATGATTCTATTTGCTGCCATTAATAATTTTCCAGTTCTTTTGCACTTAAACATTTGAGTTCTTCAAGAAAGTGTGTTGTTTCTCTTCTTTTCTGTTTAATTGGTGGTATGAGTGTGTATGTTGGAGGGTAGGGTGTCTTTTGAAGAATGGTCAGGCTACCAGGGACCACACCCCTAAAGAAAAATCAACTCAACCTCCCCTAGCAGATGTCAATGTTCAATAGTGCCTCAGCTAGTGTGGGGCTCCTTGCCCCTTTCCCATGTCACCTTGTTTCCTAACTGGCATATTGACTGGTTTGATCATATTCACTGTCTTATGTAAGCAACCACAGCTACACCGTCTTTATCTATGTAGTGGCCCTGTCATCCTCAGAAGACATTGTTTCTTCCCACTCTTCCTTAGATTCTATCTCCTCTTCCATGTTGGTCCCTTAGCCTTGGGAAGAGGGAGCCTGTGGTAGTTATCCCACTTATGGCTGAGCACTCCGCAGACACTTACTCTCTTCACTTTGGTCATTTCTGAATCTTTTTGAAATGTTGTTCACTGTACAAAGAAGCTTTTCTGGTGAGAACTGGGAGTTGCATTAATCTATAGGTAGAGGGATCTGTCTTTAGAAAGGAGGTAAATACTATGTCTATTTGGCAAAGTAATAGCAGTGGGTACTGTCCTAGGGATAGGAACTCTCAACTATAATCTCTTGGACAGATTTATTTTATACTTAAATGATTTATATCAATAAGACTGGGTATGAGGGATGGATAAATAACTTTGTGAAGTGTTTGTGCTATAAACACGAGAACCTAAATTTAATCCCGAGGACCCACATAAAAAATTCTGTGCATAGCATAAAATGGCAATAGTCCTAGTGCCATGGAGGCAGAGACAAGCAGATCTTTGGGCTTCATTGGCTAATACTGAGCAAGCTTAAGACCAAGCAAGGTCAAGACCAGTGACAGTCTCTGTACAACAAATTAAAGGGCAGTTGAAAAACAATATCAATGAATGGGCAGCCTTTTCACATCTCCACACATATGAGCATACAGATGCATGTACTTGTTTATACAAAGTGCTCTCTCTCTCTCTCTCTCTCTCTCTCTCTCTCTCACACACACACACACACACACACACACACACACACACTGGCATGAACAAAAATATTTTAATAACAAATTTCTAAATTTTACAGAAGGGACAGTGAAGAGGTGACTACTGTTATAAAAGGAGTTTTGACCTTTATTTATGTGGCATGGTTCTGTGGGAGGTGACAGGGTGGGAATAACAGAAGTGAAGGCTTACTCTCTGATGAGTTAGATGCCTACTCTTGAGCAAAGCTCTTAATTTTTAGTGGTAGTTTTTCTCAAGTTTAATATACTGAATTCAGAACAATTAATTTGTAGTATCCCTGATCTTTAAACATGCTATCATGGTTATCTGTCCTTATAAAATAATGATGAAAATAAAAAAGGTTGCTTTGTTTCATGAAGTTCTTTGATAACAGCTTATTTGTACTTATGTGTATATACAGGGAATTATTAGCACAGTAGACTAATATTAAGCTAGAAAACAGTTTCTGGTGACCAAATGAAAGTTTCCATTTGATATATATTATTTAATATTCTTCCCAAACCTCCCCTCTGCCCTACTCTAATACACTCCTCCTCTGTTCAGAAAGGGGCAGGCCTCTCATGGATATCAACTAAACATGGCATATCTAGTTTCAGTAGGACTAAGCACCTCTTCTTGTATTAAGGCTGGGCCACCCAACCCAGTATGAGGAATAGTTTCCCATGAGCCAGCCAAAGTGTTGGGGACAGTCATTGCTCCCATTGCTAGGAGTCCCACAAGCAACTCTCTGGTTATCGGTTCAGACTCTTTGAGGTCCTATGGCACAGGGTGGTTGATTCTGTGGGTTTTCATGTGATGTCATTGATCCCTATGGCTCATATAGTCCTTCCTTACTCTCTTCTGTGGGATTCCCTAAACTCAGTCTAATGTTTAGCTGTGGGTCTTTGTATCTTTTTTCCACCGGTTATTGGATGAATCCTCTCTGAAGACAACTGGGATTGTCACCAATCTATGAGTATAGCAGAATATTTTTAGGCATCACCACATTGACTTTTTTTTCCCCGATCATGTTTGGTTCTCTCCTAGGTCTCTGGGTTATCCAGCTTCTGGGGCCTGGCACTCCAGGCACTGTCAGGTGTGGGCTCATTCTCTTGGCCATGGGCCTGAGGCTGGAAAGTCATTGGTTGGCCACTCCCACAATCTCTGTTCAGCTTTTACCCTGGCAAATCTCGTAGGCAAGACAGACTGTAGGTGGAAGGCTATGTGGCTAGGTTGGTGTCCCAATCACTCCACTGAAAGTCTTTTCTGGTTACAGGAGATGGTTAGTTCAAGAGTACATATCTGTTATTGCTAGGAGTCTTAGCTGCAATCATCCTGGGAATTGCCCTTACACTAGGTTTCTATCTGACCATCAATTGCCCCTTAGGAATTTTCAGGCATCTCTTTCAGTACTCTGTCCTCCATTATACCTCCAAACCTGATACCTCATATTCCCATCCCTACCAATCCCCAGTCCACCCATGAGATCTAGTCTAATTTCCTTTCACAGGGAGATCTAAGCATCTGCCCTTGAGTACACCTCTTTACCTAGCCTCTCTCTGAATGTGAATTGTAGCGTGGTTATCCTTCTCTTTACAGCTAATATCCAGTTATAAGTGGTTACAAAACATGTTTGTGTTTAGGGGGGTCTGAGTTACCTCACTAAGGATGTGTTTTTTTTTTTCTAGTTCCATCTCTTTGTCTTCAAATTTCTTGATGTCATTGTTTGTAACAACCGAGTAACACTGTATACATGTACCACATTTTCTTTATCCATTTTCAGTTGAGGGGTATCAAGGTCATTTCCAGGTTCTGGCTATTACAAATAAAAATGTTTTGAACATGGTTGAGTAAGTGCCCTTGTGGTGTAATTGAGTATCCTTTGGGTGTATGCCCAAGAGCAGGCTCTTGAGATAGATTGATTCTTAATTTCTTTGAAAAAAAAAAAAGTGCCTTATTGACTTCCAAAGTGGCTATACAAGTTTTCATTCCCACCATCAATGGAAAAGTTTTCCTCTTGCTCCACATCCTCTAGAGCATAAACTGCTATTGGTGTTTTGATGTTAGTGATACTAATAGTGTTTGATGGTATTTCCATAGTTGTTTTGATTTGTATTTCCCTGATTCCTAAGGACATTGAACATTTCTTTAAGGGTTTCTCTGCCATTTGAGATTCTTATTTTTGAAAATTCTCTATTTATATCTGTACCCCATTTAAAAATTGAATTATTTGTTTTTTTGGGTGACTAAATTCTTCTGTTCTTTATCTATTTTGAAGATCATTCCCTTGTCAGCTGTGGGATTGGTGAAAATCTTTTCCCATTCTGTTTGTTTTTTTTTTGTTTATTTTTCGAGACAGGGTTTTTCTGTGTAGCTTTGGATCCTATCCTGGCACTCCCTCTGGAGACCAGGCTGGCCTGGAACTCACAGAGATCCATCTGCCTCTGCGTCCCATGTGCTGGGATTAAAGGCGTGTGTCACCACCACCCCGCTCTTTTCTCATTCTGTAGGTTGCTGTTTTGTCCTAGTGACAGTAACCTTTGCATTAATGAAGATTTTCAGTTTCATGAGGTCCCATTTATTAATTGTTGATCTTAGTATCTATGTTATTGGTGTTCTGTTCAGGGAGTCTTCTCCTGTGTCAACGTGTTCAAGACTATTTCCTACTTTCTCTTCTATAAGGTTCAGTGTAACTGGATTTATTTTGAGGTTTTTGATTGACTTGAATTTGAATTCTGTGCAGGGTGATAGGTGTGGATCTATTTGCATTATTCTGCATGTGGACATCCAGTAATTTCAGCACCATTTGTTGAAGATGCTTTCTTTTTTCCATTTTATAATTTTGGCTTCCTTGTTAAAAATCAGTTGTCCATTGGTCTGTGGTTTTAAGTCTACTCCTTCAATTCTATTCTGCTGATCCACCTGTCTGTTTTTATGCCAATACCATACTGCTTTTATTACTACAATTCTCTAGTAGAGCATGAGATCAAGGATGGTGATACCTCCAAAAGTTCTTTTGTTGTACAGAATTGTTTTAGTTATGATGACTTTTTGTTTTTACATATAATGCTGAGTATTTGTGCTTTCAATTTCTGTAAAGAATTGTATTGGCATTAAATGAAGGTAGTGTTGAATCAGTATATTGCTTTTGGTAAGATGGCCATTTTTATTGTTATTCCTATCAATCGATCCAGGAGCATGGGGGGGGGATCTTTCCATCTTCTGATGCTTCTCCAATTTATTTCTTTAAAGACTTGAAGTTCTTGTTATTCATGTCTTTCACTTGTTAGGATTACCCCAATATAATTTATATTACTTGTGGCTAATATGAAGGGTGTTGTTTCCATTATTTCTTTCTCAGCCCATTTATCATTCATCTCTTAGAGGACTACTTATTCTTTTGAGTTATTCTTGTATTCAGCCACTTCATTAAAAGTGTTTATCAGCTGTGGGAGTTCCATGCCGAATTTTTTGGGTAGCTTATGTATACTATTATACCATCTGCAAATATAAATCACTGCTAAACTCTGATTGGGAGGAGTCTCTTATTTTTTTTTTTTAAAAGCTCAGTCATACAACATATTTTGTACTTGTGCAATTTGTATAATAGATTTTAAAATGTTGCTGGTGTATTTACAAGTAGGAAATTCGGTACTGCAAAAAACGAGAACTTGTCTCGGAATGTGTGCTTGAGAAGGCAAGTTGCTCAGATTGCTGCTTTTGCTGTGTTCGCTGCCAAAGTGTCTTAGAACAAGTAGGTTCTCCATTTTCTCCCCTCAATTTTGTCTTTTAAAATGCCCATCATAGTAGAGATTATTTAATGTAATGACTAATAACATTGTGTGTACCCAAAGTAGTTAGGATTAAAATGGACAAATGTTAACTCCTAGCACTAACAATATCAGTAAGACAGCCTCTCTTTTACATGGCAAACATGTGGGCTTGCTTGATTTATGAGGCCAGTGAAGTTATTTATATTTGATTCAAAAATGAACTCTCTCCTCACCCTCACCCTCACAAGTCTCTGAACATCCTCCAGAATTAAATACACCCTCTTGAAATCTGAGAATTCCCATTCTTCATGTTTTCCATTTGAAGCAGGCTAATCGTTAATTATGTAATAGATGCACAGACATTACATCTCACATTCTTATAATGGGATCCTATTTTACCACTCTACTGGTGTCCTGAAAGCTTAGATAAATGCCCCCTGTATGCCTCAGAACTCATTAACATACTGCCAAATGTGTGAGATAAAACATATACTTGCAAATTACCTTTGTCAACAGCATGGCATATTTTTTGGATTCCATGTGGCCTTTGAGAGAATACTGACTTGTATGATGTCTTTGGGCTTCATTTTAAACAATATGCATTTGAAAACTTCTTGGGTGATTTGGAATTGTTTTCAAAACTTTCATTATATTGAAATATGTTAATCAAAATAATCTGTGAATTATTGTTATAGTCAAAATTTTGTCATTAGTTTTGAATTCTCACTCACTTTCCAAGTAAATATCTTGTCTGGGTAATTCTACTGATGTTTTTCTCTTTTACCTACATCTCTCTTGTTTTGTAGAACTCCACAGGAACAACTTCGGAACATACTACCAAATACTTCCCATGAAGCTACAATGGAGAAACAGTGCTCTCAGAATGAAAGTAATGATGATAGTGATGGTCAGTGAGCTTTAACTAGATTGATTAACAATTATTGTTTACAAGTATATAAACAAGCAGTAATTCACACATGCTTTTAGCATTTGTCCATGTATCATTCTGATCTAGACTATGAAACTCCATCTCCTTTTATTTACTATAGTACCTTGCTTTCACCAAAATACCTTCATGTAAAAGATAATGGAAGGAAATTTGTGTTTTGCTTGAGCTGAAGGAATTGATAGTGTTTCCATCTTTGTGTTGATTTGTGATAGACTATTCTTTTAGTGTTGACAGTATTATTTCTAGACAGCAAATTATCAGGCCTGTTCTTAAGTAATATTGTTTTCCAATTTTACTTCTAGTTGAAGAGATTAAAGTACAATATCCACCTCTTTTTATGCCAGTAGAAAAAGAGAATATAGAGAGACCTCCACCATCACTAACAATAGTAGAATTGGATGGCGTAAGTATATTATGATCATACAAATTCTTTCACATAGAAAATGTAAAATAGTGATGTCTTATTAGCATTATCAGTAGGATTTTATTAAAAATTTATCAGAGTTTAAGAAACATTTCATGTTTATAGATTCCAGCCTGGTGATAAATTTAAAATTATAAGTTTTATTGTAGAGAGTAGATGTACATGCTAACTTAACATTGCCACTTTTTTGGAAGTATGTAACATGGGATGTGAACAAATGTTCTGATGTTCTAGTTTATGTTCTCATGTGCTAGTTAATAAAGCACATTTTTTTTGTCTCTTTAGTTCTTTTGTCAGGCTTTCACAAAAAGATCAGTTTCATTACATGGAATCTTATTTACAGCTACTTAGGTATAAATATAGTTTCTAGAATGTCATTAAAATTTTGATTTTTTGAATAAGTTGGAGACATGACAGTAGGAAAACTGGAAGAGTTGTAGTCAATAATTTCCTGGGATTGACAATTGTTTCATACATTGCTATTATTGACCTCAAATGTGACAATTGTAAAAATTTAATAAAACATTTAGTATTCTCAATGAAGAACAGTTGAATTTCGTTTCCCTGGAGCATGTATGATATAGTTAGAGAGTCGTTTGTAGAAAGAAATATTATAAATATTACTGACAGTTAACTTGCTAGTAAACCTATTGTGCATACTAATAATATGTAACATATAATTAATAAGACTCATGAAGCAGAATTTGAAGAACCAGGAAATGCTGTGCCTTACAGAGTTCAACTAGCTGATTCAGAGAGTCAATTCAGGTAATATTTTTCTCATTCACTTTGGTTACTTTTTAAATACAAGTCACAAAGGACAGGGCCATGGTAGAGTGGTAATGTGTTTGCCTAGCATGCATCAGGCCAATAGGGTTCATCTAATCTACAGTATAGCAAAAAGTAATAACAACTAAAATAGAGCCATGAAAATATCATCCATCTCTGTAATTTGGAAATTCATTGTGCTTAAATGTTTATTAATGTTAAATTTACTTATGTCATGCAGAAATTTTACATTTGTTTTGCTTGTTTTCAAGACAGGGTTTCTCTGTGGCTTTGGAGGTTGTCCTGGAACTAGCTCTTGTAGACCAGGCTGGTCTCCAACTCACAGAGGTCTGCCTGCCTCTGATTCCCGAGTACTGGGATTAAAGATGTGCACCACCACTGCAGGGCTTACATATTATTTTTACACATTTATAAACGAATAAATTTGCAATTTTGTCTCACATTTGTATTGCTTTATATATTCTCATGAATTTACTGATTGTTATCATTTGAAGTAATTTCCCAAGTCAGATATAGTTTATATCGACTTTCTTTTCTCTAAAGATCCTATTTGACTATACTTTCTTTTGAACTCTAAAATAAGAAGGTGTGTAAAAGATCAGGCTCAGGAGCCCCTCCAGTATAATAGTGCTCGCTAGGCACAGCCTAATGTGTAATCCGAAAAAGAAGTAAAGTAAATAGTTAACATTGTAATTGCTTTGTGCTATTCTGCCATTTCCATGTTAGTAAAGTTAAATATTATCCACTTTCTGTGAACTCTAGAATAGCTGGTGTTTAATCACAAATACTCAATATGACTCAACAGTGGGATGGAGCTCCTGTTACATACCTCCTCAACTGTTGCTTCATTAACATCAGCTCTGGCCTTCCCAGTTTATGACAGCAGGTCTGAATCTAAGTGACACCCTGGAACTCCCGGTAGTTCTTTGTCTGAACATAGGGTCTCACATACTGAGAGAGCAGAGGTGGCAGTCAGTAGGGAGGTTTTGAGAGGAGACAGCTTTCTGATCAGTCGTTGAGTGACTTAACATCTGCTATTGTGTTTCCTTAAGGAAATGATAGACATTTCTGCTTGCCACTTCAAAAGGTCTAGTAATTTATTTAAATTAATTGTCCTGTGTATCTAAGTGTCTGTGTACTGTGTATGTGTATGTTGGCATATAGTTGCATGTGAACATCAGAGAACAACTTGTAGGTTCTTTCCTTCTACCATATAGATTTTGGGGGCTGAATTTGTGTCATAAGACTTGGTAACAATTCCCCTCACACACTGAATCATCTTACTTCCTCCAATTTTCATTCTTTAATATGCTTTTCTCCATATCTTCTTTGACCCCAGTGGAAAGTGTTAGATGTGGTGAAGAATACTACCCATTATGATTTGACATTAGACTTACAGCATTGGTTTGAACTAGCTATACTATCTCTTTTTCTTTGAATCATGAGTGACCTAAGATGACATTTTGGTTAACTATATGAGTTCTGTGAGTTTTATGATTATAGAGTCTACATCAAAACCTGGTGTTGCTCAGTCCATAGTGAATGTGACAGTATAGCTGTGTATATAGATAGTATCCATTGTTGGCAAGTATAATGCAATACTACATACTGCTTTTAACTTTAAACACTGATGGGGCACAGATGTGTTCATGATATACTGTGATTGTAATTCTACCAAACTTCAATTTTCTTGAAAGATGCCATAAATCAAACCTTATCAATATAGTAGGAAATTCCTATTTAAAATTTTGCAATTTAGTTGCAGTTAATTTGTCATACATTTCTCGATTGTCAGACAATCAAGCTTATATTGTGCAGAATTTGTCTACAGCAAATTTAAAAGAAGTATTATAATCTTATGCAATTTATAAACCAGAATGTTCAGAGACTACTTCTTTCAACTTGTTTTTTGTGTTTGTCCTTAAACATGAAAGTTCTACATTTCCTGATTATCAGAATTGTTTTCCACGTGAAAATGGCATCCATCAACATCTTGTTTTCAACAAGGGAAAAACAGACCTCTTAAGTCTTTGTTTGAGAACTGATTCTACATACCACAGAGATGAATTAAAGGGTAATGTTCTACTTTTTGTTTACTATATCTTAATAATAAATGTTGGTAATTTAATAAGAACAATAAACATAGTGTCCAGAAACATTTTGCTTATTATTCTGACTATTAAAAATCCAGAATATTGATACTTAGAAGAAAATTGATTGAGAACATACAATACTCTTGCAAATAATACCTTTAATCAATAGATAATATTGTTATATTTACAAGCAAATAACATCAATGTGGGTCTCTATAAAATTTATTATGGGATAAATTAGCATTTTATAGTTTTCATAGAGGAAGTTTTCATGATGAAGAGTCTGGTTAGTTTCTCATTGCCTTGAAAGTATGATCAGTGTCTCATTGCCTTCACATAAAACTAAATAGCCTGCCATAGTCACATGTGATGTGAAGTTTATATGAGATAAATCATTTGCTCAACAAATCACTCAGTTTTTATTTCCGTTGGGTCATTCTTTTAACTCTTTTGAACTTTGTAGATCTAAATTTTGTATAAAAATTTTTGGATTTTCCTGGTCTAAGATATAAGATCACTATATAACAGAGACACATTGAAGTCCCCTGACCATCAGATTGAATTTTCATATCTGTCCCTCAGTCTGTGTCACCTTGAAATGCCATCGTCTTTTCCTGACTTACTTTTACTAATCTACAATTTAGTTACTGAATGATTTTTTAATCTTCTTTTCAAATACTATATTTTTTAAACCTAAGATTGTCAGGAATCCAGGTGGTATATCTCTGAAAAATTTGAGTGATATCCAAGAGCATTGTTTAACATAACTGATTTAAATCTGATGATAACCTGACTGGCCAGCAGAATGGGAAGAACTGGTGGTTTCCTGACAGTCCTACCTGTTCCAGCATTTTTCAACTGGCTTGGCCCATATGAACTACATAAATGCAACTTGGTGCTGTGGACCCACATTTGGTTGTTATTGTCTTACTAAGAGAGAGGCACCTTTCAGTTGTGTTTGAGAAAATTGTGAACATGAGCCCCTGGGTATTACTTCAAAGACATCTAAACATGTTTCTTGCTTCGAGACACGTTTGGTTTAGTTCAGAGTTGAGCAGAAATTACCCAGCTCTCCAGTATCTCCTTTGCACTTGCATATACACAGCTTCCCATCAGCATTTCACACCAAAAGACTCAATGGATACTAGTGCTAAATATTATTCCCCTGTATGAATGAACTTCAATTTATTATGGAAGAGCAGTCTTGGTTTCCAATGTTTGGCAATTATGAATATAGCTTCTACTAGAACCCTTGTATGAGTTATCTGTCTGTTACTGTGATAAAATACCTTGACTGAAAGATGGTTGGGAATGCAGGGTTTATTTTAGATTGCAGTTACAGAAAGTATGCAGTCCATGGTTTCAAGAAAGACATGGCAGCAGGATCCCCAGTAGGCAGTGTTGCAGAATCATCACATTTCACCCATGTACAGGGAGCAGAGGTGAAAACGCAACATGAGGCCAGACTGTAAAACCTCAAATCCCACCCCTAGCAATGTACTTCCTCCCATAAGGCTTTAACCTCCCCAAGTTTTATACCTTTCCAAATAAGCTGGAGACAAAGTGTCCAAATGCATGAGCCTGTGGATAACAGTTCATATTTAAACCAAAACCTTTCTACCAAAATAACTGAGACATTTTGCGTTTCTACAGGAAAAGAAAATGCCTCTTGTTCTGGTATTCACTAGTTCTTGATGTTGTTTCAATTTCCAGCTCCATAGTGAATTCTGAAATTTAACATTTGTGATATTGCTTATTTAGCATCTGTATATTATTTTGCTTGTATGTGTGTTCACATGTGCACGTGTGTGTGTGTGTGTGTGTGTGTGTGTGTGTGTGTGTTGCTTAGATTTTAAAATAGATTTTTGTATAAACTAGGCAAGCGCTGTCATATATCCTCTGTGTTATTTTGGTGAGATATTTGTTCACATTTAGCCCATTTGAGTTGTTTGCTTTACTATTATAGAATTTAGAGAATTTCTTTCTATATTTTTATGATACTGTTTGCCAGGTATATTTTCCCAAATGGTTTCTCTTGCTGCCTGACTTCTGTTATTGTACTCCCAACAGTGTTTATTAGAGAGCATTGTGGAAAGTTTCAGCAGTAGTATTTTTCAGTCTTGTGGTACATAATTGAAATTTTCTGCATACTTTTCAAGGCACAGCACTATCTTTGATTCTAATAAATCAGATATTTTTGTATCTGTACCCTTTTAAGAGATAAGCATGACATTATTATTGATCTTTCATTGTTTTTATAACCTTCCTGGCTTTCTTTTAGAAGCAAACATCTGATCTACACATTTATTTCATTTTTCATAATGTTAATGATTTTATTAATTACAGAAGTTTGAAGGGAAATGTTCAATTATACTGTGTATAATTGCCAAATTATATAAATATTTGGTACTAACAAGCAGCACTTTGGCTCTATAAGTTGGAATTTACACTGGAGAAGTCTTAGTCAAAGTCCCCAAAGTTTTACATAATCTATCAAGCCATAGAGGTACTTGTTTTGGAAATAAAGTAATAGTGGCACAGTATAAGCTCTATCCAGTACAAATGAGGCTTGATATGATTTATAATGAAAGCAGCTTGGAGAAGAATTCTTAATATGTTTTGAATTCTTAGAGCACCTTCCCCAGTGCTTTACCACCCAGGACTCGAATTAGTCACATTGAAAGGGTTAAACTCTCCCACTTCACAACTCAATTTAGGTTTCATTTCTCTGAATAGGCAGACAAGGTGTCTCTCCCCACAAAGGGCCACTTAAGCACAATACCCTTGTATTCAGGGATGAGGGAGAGCTCATACAAGGTGTAAATTAGCTCCACAATGTCTCAAGGACAAATCTAGCAGTCCCCTTCTGAATCACATCTGGACTTGGCCAAGCTTGAGCAAGTACGTCCAAAAATGGCAAGACTAAACCTCAGCCAATTATATGTATACTAGTGTAATCGATGCTTGCTTAACCTATTATATATGAAATGACCTAATTGGCCCTGAAACTCCCCTTAGCTATGCTTAATAGCAGCCTGAACTGTGGTGTTATATTATTTATGATTTATTGAAGCTTGCCTAAAGATCAGTAAAGCAGAGTGGCCAAACCCTAGAGATTTCTCACCTCTACCAATAATCAGATTGAAGGGATGATTGTGTCCTCTGCCTAAACATCATTGCTCTCCTCAGATTGAAATCCTAGACTGCTGCCTCTCCTCAACATGTCCTAATACTGACTTTGCTTCTTATTTTTATACCTCTCAAATCCTGGAATTAAAGGTGTGTGATCCCAAGTGCTAAGATCACCTTGGTGTGAGATGTTTATCTTTAGGACTGGATCAGTTTCTCATAGCTCAGTGTGGCATTGAACTAATAGAAATCTGTCTGCTTGTGTCTTGAGTCCTGAGAGCCACCACTGCCTGGCTCTATGACTTGCTAGTATGGCTGCTGGAATTAAAGGTGTGTGTCACCACTGCATGACCTCTGTGGCTTGTGACTAGCTTTGAGCCCTAAGGCAATGTTTAAAAATTATAAATAATATATCACCATAATTCCCCCTTAACACTGCACATTCCTTCCAATGTTGTCACCATTTTGTACAGGTGTTGACCCCTGCATGCTGGAATATTAATGAATGTTCTTTGTTCTTGCATATTACTTGAGTCTGGGGTCTTCATTATTTCCTTGGACCCTTACAATATACAGGGTTTGATGAGAGGGAATAACAAATGCTGTTCCCTGAGTTTCACTTCACTGTCTGTGGAGGTTGGGCTATCCATTGACAGTTTCAAAGAGAATGGTAATAAATCCAGTCTTCATCCCAGTGAAAACCAAAGTTATAAATGAGGACACTCAGGGCAGTCATAACAAGGTGATGGCTAATACTGTCTTTCTCCTTTCATGTCTTGGTACAGCAGAAGTCCCTGCCACACTTTCTCTCTGGCTCTCACTAATGCTGTTTTAAATCTAGTTGACTACTTTTTCCATGCATTTCCATACTTTAAACCAAATAGCTTAAATAGTAAAAATGTATTTAAATTTTGATAACATGAGATTGATGGATTAAAAAATTTAAACACCAGATTTTTAGTTTGTGAACAATTTAGTCAATTTATTTTTTAATGTATTAATATCTGTTTTCAACAGTAGGATCTTCAAATACAGATTTTGGCAACACTGTGGACACTGATACTTACTCTCATGAGTCCAAACAAATAGGAGAAATCAGCTCTTTGGAACAAAATGTAATAGAAAAAAATATAGACCCAGGAAACAATCAAAATTCTGGTGACTCCTCCTGCATGTTATTTTGGAGAAGGGCTTCCTTTCCAACTGCAGATTTAGATACATCTTTCTTGGAGGAGAATTCATCGCAAGACACCAGCACATCCTTGGGATGCAGCAATCCAAAAGAGAAACCAAACTTGGAAGATTCAAAAACCACAAAGTCACATCTGGTAAATCCCTACTATGTTTATTACATTAACAGTTTATAAGGATGGTCTTGAGAAAATGATATTTTGACATAGTACATACTGAAGTGTTATTTTTTATTGAAGTTAAAATGTATTGTCTTAGACCATGATATTGAAACATGACTCATATGGAAACAGACATTAAGGGTTATATAGAACAAATTCTTATAAGATGAATGTCATTTTAACAAGCATTTTTCTGTGAAAAATGGTACTAAAGAATTACCACATACACATATCAAGCAGCACCCCCACCATAGTTTCTACACCAGTTCCTGTTCCAAGTTCCTGCCCTGCTTGAGTTCCTATTCGGTCTTCCTTAATGGTCATCCTTGACATAGAAGTGTAAGCTGAATAAACCTGTTTTCCCCAAATATTTTTGGCCATAGTATTTTTCTGGAGCACCAGACAATCTAACTAAGATACTATGTAAATCTGGCCGCTATTAAACTTAGAGAAATCTTCATGTTCCATTCTTCTCTAAGCACTGGGAATACAAGTATAAGCTGGCATATCTAGCTCCTGTTTTTTTTTTGTTGTTGTTTTTTTTTTGTCTTTTAAGCATAGACATCATGTGTCTCAAAGCGAGGAGATAAACAACAATTATACTACCCAGGTGGTAGTATAATTGTAGGCATGTCATCCAAAGGACACAAAGTCTAGATTTTCTAGGTTTTAGCTACATCATGGCCACAAGTTATGTCCCTTCCTCTTTCCTCAGTTTCTAGTATGTTTTAGGCTGTGTGAATTGGTAACTTGGATTTCTTTTATGTTCATCATCACATCAGATTTATTCATTGGAATTTTACTTCATCTTTGAAACTATTTTTATAAACAGAAGTACTACTTCAGAGTTGTATATAAGAGTTTCTTCATTCCAGCATAAATTATGTGAAAAGGTACTAAGACAGTGGTACCAAGACCCCCTGGGAGTTAGATGACCTTTTCACAGAGAGAGCATCTCAGATATTTACATTACAATTTATAACAGTGGCAAAAAACATAATTACATAATTACAGTTAGAGGTAGCAACAAAGATAATTTTATGGTTGGGGGTCACCACAACATGAGGAACTGTACTAGAGGGTCACAACATCAGGAAGATGGAAAAAACATCATGGTAAGGAAAGAAAATAAATGAATGAGGACAGAAAGAAAAAATATTTTATTTTGTAAACTTTCAAACTTCCTGAATTAATGACAACTTTCAGCTTATAATTAAAGCTTTACATTTCTTGCATCCAATAGTATCTAATATTATATTATTTTGTCTCTCTATTATAGTGTAGAAGTTATTACAGCAGAACTGGTATCGAGGTCATAGGAAGTTGCTCAATGAATGAATGTATGACTTTGTTTTAATGAGCTAGTAAACAGTCTGTTAAATGTTGTTCTCTAGTTGTTACAAGACATAGCCCTCAGAAAAAAACCTGTAAATGAACCATATCAAGGACTTGAGAAGTTCTTTACCCCTGGTAAGAATGAAAGACTCCACTCTTCTCCCTCACCAAACCTAAGAGGCAGCCATTCCTGTTCCACGATAACGTTCACAGGTAAATTCTGATCAGAATCAGATGATGTTTGGACCACCCTAGTCAATTCCTAACTCAACTTTTAAAAATGCCATCATTTAAAAAGCGATGGGAAATCCTATTCAGTCCCTAACACTTTCTCTTTATCTGAAAGTATTAAAGTTGTGTGAGTTGCCATATTTGAGAATACCAGGAAGTAAGGAAAAGACAATAACCATATTGGAGGAAGATCATGCTAAGAAATTAAGAGCAATGCTCATTATAATGTCACAAAATGTTAAATCTCTGAATCACTTCACCAGTTAAGCATTATATGATGGTACTTTAAGTTTTGTCTTAAAAACAAATCTTGAAAATATTAAGATCTAAATTTCCAAGATTTATCTGTAATTTCAGTTTCTTTCTGAAATCTTTGTATTATCTTGTATTGTGCAAGTAACTTAAATTTACTTTTTGACTGCTGTTAAGTTTACAACTCAGTGGTACTATTTACTTTCATAATGATATATAACATCAGTGCCATTTGTCTCTAGAACACATCTTGTTAGATCAAAACTCTATTCTCATTAAACATAACTCATTATCCCCTCATTAACCTCCAGCTAGTAACATTCTTCTTTCTTTTTGTGTTATTTTCCTTGTTTCAATTAACTCATTCATATAAGTGAACCAGCATATTTCATTTAGCACCATTTCCCAAGTTTTATACTGTGAAAAATGTATGGTGTTTTAAAAATAAAGTGTAAAAAGAAGACTAGAATATGTGAGTCACTATGTGTTTATCTTCTTTTATACATGTCCCAAACTTCTAAAACTCTAGGGGACATAATTGGAAAATCACTGCTAAAATATTCTGTCTATAAAGGAAACCAACCCTTTCCTATCAAGGCTGTTAATATACCATTGTATGGACTTATCATCACTGAATAGCCCACCCTAACATGAGGGATTACCTGCAAAAGCTGGATCCCAGGAACTCTCCTATGATTCAGGCAGATCAAGTCTTCTCTGTGTTCTCCTAAAGTAGTCTACTGATTTTATAACCTTGGTGAAGAGCCCTCAGGAATCTTGGAAATTTCAGCTTTCTCAGACATGGGAAGTTTTTTCTGTTTGTTTATGTTTTTTAACTTTCTATTTGTTGTGAGATTCCTCAGTCCTTCATGGAAGGAATATTTCAATTAAGAGGAAATTACTGTACAACACTAGGTATCAGATAATGAGATAACTAGTGCTCCTTGAGTTTTGGGAAAGGTATTGAGAGGTTTAGTATTGATTATACGTTTTTAACTTTCCATTTTATTTATGTGTGTGTTTTTGTATGTGTGTGTGTCTGTGCGTGCAAGCCAATGCATGCATTGTAGGCACATGCAGGTTTCTGTGGGCATGTGAAAGCTTGGGTCAACATTAGGTGTTTCCTTTATTGTCCATCTTTTGATTTTGTACCAAGTCTTTCATTGAATCTGGGCCTTTTTATTCACTAGACTAGGTGGATTCTGGCCCCCAAGGATCATCCTGTTTCTACCTCTGAGTGATGGCTTTAGGTGATACACATGGTATTTTACACAAGAGCTAGGGACACAGACTCTGATCTTTTACCAATTAGTGACAAGCACGTTGGTATCAAATCTTCATAGGCCTGCTACTAGTTTTCCTTAAATGATTCATAAAACTCATCAGTCCCAGGACTTTTCATTGTAGAGAGAATATTTTTTCCTGATTCAGTAATTTTACCATATATCAGATATTCCATTTGTGTTTTCTTTTGTTTGTAAGACTAAGTCTTGGCCTCACTAAAGGGTGAGGATCTGAGTTTGTATCCCCAGCACTTGTGTAAAATTCCAGGTGTATCACAGGCCACTAAAACCATCATTCAGAGGTAGAGACAGGAGGATCCCTGGGGGTCAGGGTTCACCTATTCTAAGCAAATTTTTCATATGTTTACATACATTTATTTGGGGCTTGACATATCATTCTGTAGCACATGCAAAGCCCTGGGGTCTACCCCAGTGCCACACACACAAAATGTCTTTGTTCATAAATTATTGTATCTTAATATATATTGTTATATACTTTTAAAGTAAGTATTTTATTTCTGCAGACATTTGGCATTTATAATACTTTTTCTTTATAATCAAGACAGAATCTTAATGGACTTTATTTTAGAGTTGGAACTGAATTTCCTAATATATCTCTTTGCTGTAAATGTTACTTAATTCAGATTGCTATCGTTCGGTAACATAGTAGAAATAAAAAAGTGAGCAATGGATTTACATGATTTTTTTCCTAATATGTTAAGATAATAATTAAATTTAACCCTCAACAATATCATATATGCATTCTGATTACTCTTACTCTAAACTATATATTATATCCCTACTGATCTTCCTTGTCTTAGTTTGATAAAACCTCGTGGCTAAAAGCAACTTAGAGGAAAATATTTCATTTCACACTTCCATATCATACTCCATCATTGAAAGAAATCAAGAAGGAACTCAAAGCATAACCTGGAGGCTGGAACTAAAGCAGAAGTCATGAAGGAATACTGTGTATTGGCTTATTCCCCGTGGCTTAACTGGCCTGGTTTCTTATACAACTCAGGACCAGCAGCACAGGTTTGGCACCAGCCATCAGTGGTTGGTCCTGCCCATATCAATCATTAATCAAGATAATGCTTGCCAGAGAGGACTATAGGTCCATCTTATGGAGATATTTTCTCAAGTAAGAGTACCTATTCCTAAATGACTGTAGATTATTAGGTTGATGTAAAACTAACAAAGACACCCTTCTCTACAAGTTTCTTTTTCAAGTTCACCTATTTTCATTTTGTTTTGTGATCCACTGAGTTTAACAGAACTAACTATCTCTGGGACCATAGGTTAGGCTCATCCGTTGAAGGATGACTCATCCTATCCTGGCATCTATCAGTAGATTTCAAGGAAGGGATAGGAATGCCTGAGCCCCTCTTTCATGAATGACTCACTGTTTACCTGAGAAGTCTTTTGGAGGCCCAGTTCAGGCAAATACATATAGGCAACTGCAACCTCATGCAGCTCTTCACAGTTCATGATTGCAATGCCTGCATATGAAGAAGAGAATTTTACAGTCTTCCTCCCCATCTCTTGGCTTTAAGAGTCTATGTTCCTTGAACATTAAGGTTGTGGAACATACCGTATTTTATCCTTTATATTACATTATCATTTTTCTGTTCCAGCAGACAAAGTGTGGATCCCAGACAGCAGCTTAAGTGAGCATGCTGGTAGTACAGTTGCTTTGTGTGATCTGCAGAGTGATGGAAATCCACTTCCAAATATGCAACAGCAAAAGACAGGTACAGTAAGTGGGAAGGCAGCAGTATCATGTTGCTGCCTCCTTTGATTAGCTGTTTGATTTTTACCAAATTATTAGTCATCCAAAATTTTTTGCAGTTATACCATACTCCAAAATCTAAAGGCAGAAAATCAAGCCATCAAATGAACTCATTATTTCACTCAAAGATAAACTGTATTGTTAGCCATTTTCCTTAGCAACATATTAGTGAATTATAATAAAAATATAGCTTAGAATATGGTATGTTTTGAGCAACCCTCAAAGAATATTCATATGGTTCTTTATCTTAGGTTATGTTTTTATGCTATATTTAATGTGCTTTGAGTCATTCTTTTAATTGAAAATATATTCTTTTTTCATACAATGCATTCTGACCACTTTCCCCTCCTCTACTCCTACCAGATCCCACCCACAGTTTCCCCAGATTCACTCCTCCTCTGCCTCCCTTCAGAAAAGTACAGGACTCCAAGAGTCCACAACAAAATGCAAGAAGACAAGGCAAAAGTCCTCACACCAAAGCTGCCTGGACAAAGCACCCCTACATGAAGAAAGGAGTCCTCTAAGCAGGCAAAATTGTCAATGATTCACCTGCTCCCATAGGTAGAAGTCCTATAAAACACCAAGCTAGCCACCATAACATATACACAGACGACCTGATACAGAACCTTCCATGCTCTGTGCTTGCCACTTCAGTCTTTGTGAGCCCCTATGTGCCCTGCTTAGTTGATTCAGTGGGGCTTGTTCTCCTGGTGTCTGCCATCTCCTCTGAGTCCTATAGTCTGTCTGCCTCCTCTTTCATAATATTCTCCCAGCTCTGAGGGGAAGAACTCGATGGAGACCTACAGATCTTATTTTGATAATCTGTACCATTTGTGAAGTTGAACTATATTAAGGTTGCATCTTAGAATCAAGATCAATATCATTTGGTCTTAATTCATTTATTTTAAAAGGTTATGATTGTGTTTAGTTATTCAGTGTGTTATGCATACATAGTTAAACATAGGTTGGCTGTCTATCATAGTTATTTTTCTGCTATATTTACCATCAATATGGTTAGCATATTACTCTTTTTCTATCATACATGCAAAAGTATATCTGCTTTTTTCCTATATTTTGTATATATATGTTGCAATATATATAGCTAAAGGAAAAAATAAATCAGTTCCACACAGTTGTGTGTAGTATGCTAACACCATGTGAGGGTTTGGGGATAAAAGGATGCACGAGCGAGCATTCTCTTACAGCTTAGGAGGAATAATTGACAAAAATGGCTATTTGCTTTGGTTTAAAGCCTCTCTTCAAGCCAAAAAAATTAATTACATATGATTTGCTCTTATAGAAAATATTTATATATCTTTTTTGCCCTAAACTCTTTGGCTAGCTTAGACCTTTTCCATATGAATTTATGTTGATTTTCTGTCAGATATAGAATTTTTAGCATCAAGCCATCAATTTATTATAAAAATTTTGGAGCTCTATAATTAGATACCTATTGTCACATCAAATTCAAAAGCAGTCTCCCTGCTTTCTGGGCAGGGAGAAGGAACTGCATTTTAAGTCACTATGTACTATTGAAAATAAATTTAAAGACATGCTGTGAGACACCTGTTACAAAGACAAATCTTCCTAAGTAAATAGCCAAGTGCTTTTAAGTATCTATTTGGGGCAGATCTATCAGTGAGTAATTTACTATGAAAAAAAAGCTTCTGTTGGAGTGCCTTTCCTAGGCCATCCACTGCCAGCCACAGCAGATGAAAATGAAAAGGAACCCAGGAGCTTAGAGTGCATTCAGAGGTTCTCAGATGTCAGTGTCAGCATCAAATAGAAAACATGTTATAATGCAAGATTGTTGATCTCATTATTAAAGATGTTTAGTTATACAGAATTAAGACACCTGAAGATCTTCATCTATCAATCATTCTCTGTTGTGTTACTGTAGATTCTTCAAAAGTCCTATTTTGAGAAAACTACTACTATATATAAAAACAGACAAATTAAATTATAGTATATCAACTATAATTGAGGTGTGTGTGTGTGTGTGTGTGTGTGTGTGTGTGTGTGTGTGTATGTGTGCATGCTACTTTTTGGAAGTAAAGATGATAAAATAGATAAATGACATTTTAGTTGAGTCTTTAAATAGTAATAACAATGACCAGTTTGGGACAGAGGTAGTGGCCTAAAATAAAATTAAATGCTCTTGGCAGTGAAGCAAGCTACAGAGATTTTATATTCTGAAGTAATGCCAGTGTATGTAGGAATGTAAATTCCTGAAAGGTCTTTAATATCTATGAATATAAAAATAGAGTGCATATATGTTAAGAGGCAAGTCTCTTCCTCATTCAACCTTCCTTAAAACTCCTTGTGTCTGTAAGCAATATGGTAGGACATCTTCAGCAGAACACTTAGAAGTCAAGCTGACTTGCACTAGCTACAATCCATTCATTTGTAAATGCTGCTTCCCCTCCCCAAATGCAGCCCAAATTTATCCACTTAAAATTTCACTTCTCCTGATTAGTGCTTGATAGGTGTCCATCTTAGGGTTTCTATTGAAGCAACCAAACACTATGACAAAAAAGCAAGTTTGAGAGAAAAGGGTTATTTATTTGGCTTGCACTGCAACATTGTTGTTCATAACTGAAGAAAGTGAGGACAGGAACTCAAACAGGGCAGGAACCTGGAGGCAGGAGCTGATGCAGAAGCCATGAAGGGGTGCTGCTTACTGGCTTGCTTCCCTTGGCTTGCTCTGCCTGCTTTCTTATAGAACCCAGGACCACCATTCCAGGAATGGTACCACTTACCATGGGTTGGGCCCTCCCACACTGATCACTAACTGAGAAAATGCCTGCAACTGGAGCTCATTCAGGAATTCGCTGAGGCTCCTTCGTCTTTGAGGACTCTAGCTTGTGTCAAGTTGACACACAAAACCAGTCAGCAAAGTGTCCAATTTTGGCTGGTGCTCCAATTTCTCTTTTACTCTTTGCAAAACTCTCATGCTATGGTTATTTATTAGTAAGTAGGCTGCTTATATTTTCAGTCAGAAAATTATTTATATATTTCATAGCTTATGGGGTTTATATTTTAACATGAACAAAGTTCTTGACATTTAGTTGCCTAAAAAGCATACTATAGTGGGCTAGAGAGATAGCTCAGCCATTAAGAGCACTGACTACTCTTCCAGAGGACCCAGGTTCAATTCCCTTTACCCACCTGGCAGCTCCCAACTGTTAACTCCAGTTCCAGGAGACCTGACATCCATGACAAAACATCAATGCACATAAAATAAAAATGAATTTAAAAAATCATACTATAGATACCTGTAGAAGGTAACACACACAAATGGACATACACACAGAGACATACACACACACACACACACACACACACACACACACCTCTTCCTTTTGATGAATAGCTCTTACCTGACATGCTTCCCCATCTGTCTTCACTGTACCTCCTCCCAACCTCTTCTTTCACTGACTCCTCTCTCAAAGGCAGATCATACACGATTATTTTTAGCTTAGGAATGTGCTTCTCTCTTTCATACAGGATGCTTTGTAAACTCCCACTCCATCGTCAGATCTTTGTGGGGTTGCTTTCAATCTCAGATCAGATGCTGCCTTTTCAGTGACTTCTTTGAGGCCACCCTATATAATGCTCATCCCCAAGTCCTTCACCCACTTTTTCCCTCCTCCTAGAAGACGTTGTATAACACCACTTATATTTCTCATGTATCCTACTTTGGTTAGAAAGCCTGTTTACTCTTTGATGAATCCTCAGTGCTGGGAAGGAGTTCTGGTATTTTTGTGCAAATTGGCAATAGGGACAATGCCTGACTCATTTTATAGTATCTTGATTTTGACAGAGGATTTGGCAAATTTAGGAGTTAATCAATTGAATTGGATTAAGTATTAATTTGAAGGTTCCAATAGTTGGTTGGAATTAAGACATTACACTGGCTAATTCTGTATTTTGAAGGTGACATATGGGTTATCATATGTCACATCACAAGCTGATGTCTGATTCAGTGAGGTAAGATAAGTTTCTTAGCAGCCTAGCTAAAGATTTCTCCACTGACCCATGCTGGTTAACTTGAGTTCTTTACATGTTCCTAGAAATCTTGGAAAACACATTTCTATTTTTAATAGTAATTCCTAAAAGTATGCAGAGTAGCAGGTACTAAAATTTTACAAACTTAGTTCATGTTTAAAGTATTGGCTCCTTTGATAAAAATGTTGTTACTGAGATGCTACCCAAGGAGGTTGGAGAACTGTTCGGTTGAGAAATTTCTTTCCATGCTTACAAGGAAACATGAGTTTAATCCTAGAGCTCATATAAATCCAGGCACAATGGAGAATGCCTATAATCCAGACACTAGAGAAGTAGAGACAAGGTGATCCCTGAAGCTATCAAGGCTAGCCAGTCCAAGCTGAAACACTGTGAGAAATACTGTCTCAAAAATATTAGTGACTGATGAAGGAATTCTATGTTAACCCCTAGCCCCTGTATACCTGCAAAGAAAGAAAAATGCCACCCCAAAGTAATGCTATAATTGTTTCTTCAAATTCTATGTTATGTATAGACTAAAATAACAATTATATTAAGCATTATTTGGTGATTTATGTGTCATAGCCTCATGAATAGTTTTGTGTTCATTCATATTATCATGTTTTGTCTTTTCAATATTTAGCCTAGTTTCACTACTAAGCATAAAGTATATATATATTTGAAACTCTCACCAAAGAGAATTTATTATTTCTAGAATCTGACTGGAAACAATTAATATTAACCATTTCCTGATACTACATTGCCAGTGATGGCACCAGTTGGTCTAAAACTCAGTCTCTCTCTCTCTCTCTCTCTCTCTCTCTCTCTCTCTCTCTCTCTGTGTGTGTGTGTGTGTGTGTGTATTGTGTGTATTTTTAGTAGGAGATGAGGGCGTCAACTGGCATTTTTCATCAGTGGCTTGTTTCATGTTGTGCTGAATCTTAACCTTAACAATGATATTAATATGCTCACGAGTTAAATTCTAAAGTGAGTGATATGTGTACCTGAAGGAATAAAAGTAAATACAAAAAATCTCTGTGCTTTGGTGACTTCAAACTATAGTGGACCATGTTTCCAGCAGGGAAGATGGTCTGTCCTTTTGCTCTGTGCTAAGCATATATGATCTATCCCCTGGGTACATTTTCTTTCAATTGGTATCAGTTAGCTTCAAATTCAGTGGTAATTAGATCCTGCTGAACCTCCAGCCAGTGCAGTCTTCTCCTGAGTTTTCTGAAGGGCATCCATGGTTTCTAAGAGTTTTTTCACTTCATCATATTGTTGTTGTCACTGTTGTCAGATCCAGGCCTTTAATAACTTCATCCTTTTATTTGTTATATTTCAATTAAGCAATATAAATTATTTTAAATTTTTCATTTGATGAGGCATCATGACACAGAAAAAAGAACATTGTATCCCAGGATCCAGGATGTTTGATTTCTGTAAAGAATTACTGCTGTAATTACTGCTTTTCTGTGCACAATGCTGAGTGGGAGGCAGTTTGCTCCTTTCTGGCCATGAACAACATATTGAATCATTCCACATTATGTAAAGGGGAGACCACTTTTCAACTCTGGTCATCAAAATAATACTTGAGGGCATTTTAACAAGAATCAATGTGTATAGACATATGCCTGTTGATTGCCTTTCTTCAGAATTTTTTTTTTTGCACATGGTCACAAAAGTGTCAGAGACTTACTTTATAATTGCAATTTGCAAATCATTGTTAAAGTTGGTTTCTTCAATGTTCATTAAAATCAGTGTTCTCTGTGTGTTAGCTTAATGAGGTTTAATTAAGTATTTACATGTTGGATCCAAAGGCTTATGAGAGTATTCACTATACTCAATATAGAATAAAAAGTTGAGTAACAAGGGAAGACAAACTGATTCTTTATTTTACACAGGGTAACTTTCAAAGTTGCTTTCTTTTAACTTGTAATTTTCCCTTTTATTCTGTATACTGACATATTGCTGGGATCTGTTCAGTCAATTATGAATTTTATGACAATGTCAGTTGCATATACCAAAACTTTTATGAAAAGTTCATTTGTTTAAAGAGGTTACAAATTTACATTTTATATTATTATGTTTGATTTGAAAATACTCCTATAAATTAGAAGGTACCCAAAAGCAATGCACTTGTCTTGTGAATTCTTATACACTATAGAATTTAAAGCATCACCTGTCTCCCTGAGACAAAATGTTCAGATGTTGAAGAAACCAACTGAGCTACCTCTAAAATGAACCAAGAAAAAACTCTGGTTGACCAGTGGGAGACAGTAGTCCCCTGACTGGGTCTGTCTTTCTGGGACCACTGCACTGAAGGGCCAGTAAGCAGCACCATAGAAGGGATCCAGATTTACAAAGCTCACATGAACTCTCATTTTCTTTTTCACATACTATCCTGTTTGGGACCAGCAGGTTGTTCTTCAGTGACAGGCTCCTAAGAGGGAGAAACAGGGATGTGATGATAAAGAACATGAGAAAGGGGGGACCAGGAGGTCTTGCTCAAACTGATGACTTACACCAACCATGTTTATGGAGTACAGCATCATACAGTTTTCATGAAAAGCAAAAATTGGGACAAAGTCTGCAAAATACCATAATAAAATGGGAAGAACTATGTTCTCAGGATCCAAAACTATAGCTCCCCTAAGGCACTAGCCTCAGGCCATTTCTGGCATTGCCAAACAAACATGTACCTGGTTTTAGACAAGGAACTAAGTTCCTTCTCCATACACCAGGACCTCAGGGAATGCCCTGGACTAGCCTAACCCTTAACAGTAGCCTATTTGTCTTCATATTTAAAAATAAATAATAAAATTCTGGTAAGTTAGTTCTCTATGAGTAAACCCTGTTTATTCTATGTTTCCTCTTTTCAAGGTACAATGTGGTAATTTTCTAGAACTTAAGGAACATGTAAGGGCATCAGCTGTTGAATAGACTAGAAAAGAGAAAGTGTGCTATAGTGTTTTGAAGCTGACTGGTCAGATGCATATTTTCCTTTAGTTGCTATTAAAATTAGGTTCTCTTTTTCCCAAGTACTGAAAAATGACTCAGAGGAGTTCTTTATGTCACTGTGAAAGTAACTTGAGATTAATTGATTTCAGATAGCTCAAATAAATGGCAGTACAAAGCCACCAGTATTATTGGATACTTTGTGTCCAGGAGGATAGTAATTTGTATGGTTAATTCACACTGGGAGGTGAGGTACAGTAAGTAGATGGTTCAGTTAGTAAAGTGCTTGTCTTCTAAGCACAAGGACCTTAGTATGAACCCTAGAACCCCCCTAAAACAAAAACATCAGGCATGATGGTGTGTGTGGACCTGTTTCTCCAGGCCTGTGTGTTGGGATGGTGGCTATAAGAACAGCACTGGGTGTCACTAGCCAAACACTGAACCCTAACTGTTAAACCTAAGCCAATGGGAGAATTTCTTTCAAATGAGTTGGATGGTGTCCCTGATGGTGAGAACTCCAGTCTCCATCAACATGTGTGCATGTTTGTGTGCATTTGCACATACCCATGCATGAACACACTAAATTGAACCAACAAATACACACTTGGGATCTTAAAGCAGTTGATTGTTTTCTTCTTATAGGCCAGAAAACACGGAGACCTTCAACAGTGAACTTGCCTGTGTCCAACTCTGCTCGAAAAGGTTCCAGCTGCTGTTTGTCCTCTTGTCCCCGTTCAAGGAGTGCAGCTGCTCATTCCCTATCCAGAGCTGCTTCTGAAATCTCAGAAATTGAGTACATTGATGTCACGGACCAGAACGAGCCTCTCTTAGATTACACGGAAGATCAACAAACCTTAGACAGTTTGGAGAAAGAATTGAAAGTGCTGAGAAATCTTTCTGGTAAATGATAGATTTTACTTACAAAATGTCAACTCTGTTCTCTGCTTCAGTCTTTACACATTGCTCTCTACAACAAGCAAATGAAAGAGGCATTCCCTTCCCATGTGTCTATTTCCTTAGATATCACCAACTCTACACAAAAATACTTATAAAATAGGTGGTTTCTGAACCCACAGAAAAGCCAGTCCTCCTCAATGTAATACATGCTCAAAATTTGACATATGAATCTTCTTATTTGCAGCCAGCATGACTCCATGCATAAATCCACGTGACTAAAATTGACAAATATAATTTGATCCTGGAGACACACATGGTGGAATTCCCAAGTTTGTCTCCTTATCTATGCAGTGGTGTATGTATGTGTATACTAACATTCACAAATAACATGTAATGAAAAACTAGTTTAAGAAAGAAAATCTTTTTTTTTTTAATCTTTCCTTTGAGTGCAATGAAGGATTAATGTCTTCATCTTTGTGAAATTCTCTGTCCAGCATCCTTATGGGCAAATCGAGCTGTTAGGTTTCTTAAAGCAGTCTTTCCCAATCTTAAACATATGCATTCCCCTCCCTGGGATCTTCTTCAGATGCACACTGATTCAGTGTGTTCACACATATAACAAGTAACCAAATGGCTAGGTAACAACAGTTGGGAAAGGACTTTTACCTGCTCATTCTATTTTCAACCACAATACCTGTAAGAGTGTGACAAAGGCCCACCCTATTCTTTAACTTTGCAAGTGTCTGGCAGTAACAAAACATCAGGAGGGCAATGCTCTTACAGTCACTCACAGTTGGAAACCAACTCTAGATGCAGAGGGTGGAAAATTATCTGGGCTTTTGGGTATTCCACACTTCTCCCAACCCTGCCATTCTGGCCCATTGTGTTAGTAACCTTCTGTCTTCCTTATGAAGTTTAGACAACATTGTTTGCTTTTCTAAGAATGATCTAACTCAGTTTTGAAAACTTCAGGAAATAAGAGAAAAATGTAAACCATAAAGAAGAAAGAAAAGAAAAGAAAAAGGCCCATATTATCACAAAAGCTTACTACTCTTAAAAAAATAACACTATTAACTACAATGAGTGTTATTTTAAATATGTTTGTATCATAAGTATACAAATAATATTGAATGTTTACAATGGTGTTGCATCACTCTGACCAGGGAGTTTATTTGTATTCACCCCAGAGAGAGGAACAATTGACAGACTATAGAAGTGATACTCTCCATGTCCTGCTTGCTAAAACAGTGAGGTTAATTGGGTTTTCGGGAATATGGGTGACTTTAGTAGCTGAAATATGGTAAGGCACACCTTGGCATGAGTGAATATTTGCCCATGTTCTCTCACTGTAATTCACTGCTCAGCATGCAGGTAGCATCACTGAAGAGTCTTTTACTCCCAGGCACACCCCACCACTGCAATTCTTTCCTGCTTATAGAAAATTTGGAGAGACCTTGTGAGTCTTGTGGGATTCTGATCTTCAGTCTTGTAGCTTTCTCCTGGGTTTTGAGATTGGCTCCTCCTTCCAAAATGTAATGTTTGAAGCCTGAGATAAAAACCTACACAGAGATGGATGCACAGGTTAAAAGGAATGAGGTGATATTATAACTTAATAAAAACAGATTACAAATACTTTGCACAATACTTTAAACTGTAGTTAAGCAGGCATATAGGTTTAAGAGCTTAACAGGATAGATGTATTCATGTCAGAGAAGTATTTTCACCAGAATACTGCCTATTTATCTATATACAATGATCCTCTTTACAGGACAAACAGAGGAATATTGACAGTTATAACTTTTTTGCATGTTTCTTAACATTTAAGAAAACTGGAAGAAAACTAGAAAAATGAGAGTGTTTCTGTCTGCTTTAGTTATTTTGACTTTAAAATTAAAGTCTCTGAAATTAAAATGAAGAATCATTTATTTGTTTGCTTTATTAAATCACATGCTATTTTAGGTGATAGTAAACACATCCCAGTGAGTTATGGTATCTTATCTTGTCAATATTTCCCTCTGGTTTCTTTCTTGGTCAAGATTCCAGTGGATTAAGTTCCCTGTCGTAACTGAAAGGCCTATTTTCAATTATTTTGAGACAGTTTGGTAAAGATATTCTTGAAAATTTCTTTCTTTTGAGTGTCTTCCATATTTCTTTATATATTGTGTGTTCTTGGGTATATGTACGATGTGGAGAGAAAGAGAAGGGCTTGTATGCCATGGCAAGTGTAGAGGTCAGATGACAACCTTGCAAAGTCATGCCCCTAATTACACCTTTACTTAGGTTCTCCAGCTCAACCCAACTCAGATTTCCTGACTTGCTGAGCAAGCGCTCCAGCCAGAGATGCAGCTAGCTAGGCCACATAGTATGTATGTCGTGACTAATCACTTAAATATATGGAATGAATAGATCTGAACTTTGTCTCCTTTGCACAATAGCAGACATATCCTCACAGTCTTCTGTCCCTGTTTTTCCACTGAGGTTTTTGTTTGGTTGAAGCTAATAGTTCTGATGTTTCTCCCTGCAAGGTGGGGAGGGGGGCGCTATGTTGCTGTTACCTGAAGTGGCTCCCGTTTAGAATTCCCTGAGATCTTTATATTTAAACACATACCATCTTAGAATAGTAGCCTGGTGTCTTTTCTTTTAAACCTTTCACAGGGACTTTCCTGACTCTGGATTCTGGTGTGACATAATCTGATGCAACCTCACCATTTCTTCCTCACACTTTTTTCCTGTGTAACACGAACAATAAAAACCCAGCCACAGATATTGGAGTTCAAGCTGAAGATCAGAGAAGCAAAGTGCAATGTCACTAGCTCTTACTTCTACCTCAGACCAAAATGTGTGTTCCTGTCTCCGCTAATCCCCAGAGTACAGGGCTCTCTATCAAACCTCAGACTGCAGTCCTCTGAGTTCCTGTCTCCTCCTGATTTATATTACTCTCTGCTCAGCCAAGTCACTACTGTTTCCACCTGCCTAGTACTGGGGTTAAAGGCATGTGATCCCAAGTGCTGAGATCCTTTGTGTGACCTGTCTTTCTTTTAGATTGGATTACTTTCATGTAGCTCAGTGTGGTCTTGCAAGAACAGAGATCCATCTGCCTTTGTCTCCTGAATCCTGGGATTAAAAATGTGTACCACCACTGCCTGGCCTCTATGGCTAGCTAGTCTGGTGCTGGGATTAAATGTGTGTATCACCACTGCCTGGCTCTATGGCTGTGACTAGCTTTGCATTTTGATCTTTAGTTGCTTTATTAGACCGTTTACAATATATCACCACGTTCCTGGACGAGTATGATAAACTTTCTTTGCCTAGCTGTTTTATTTTTTTCATACACAGTATTTTAATCATATTTCTCCTAGGCCCATGGCCTATCTCATCTCATGTTCTTGGCCACTTAGTGATGACCAGAAAGATTCTATTTCAGTACTCTTTCAGTGACAGCCTTCCTTCCAGACTATAAAATAATTTCCATATTTTCAGAAAAAAATGCTTTTGTATCTTTGAATTGTTTTTCTGATACTGTCTGCTTTTTCCTACAGGGAACCTATTTTCTTTAGTTGGATCTTCAACAGTGTATTTCCAATATGTCCTTCAGGTACTGTATTAGCTAGCCTTCTCCCAGTGGCTTTCTTCCAACAGAATATCCAAGAATCTGATCATTGTTCAGTCCTCAAGATTGAGTGTAGCAGCTGGTCTGCAGAATATGTAAGAATCTTAAGGAAATAGACTCTAATGCTAGTGAAGGAATGGACTTGTTATTGAGAATGGGACAGCAGGCAAAGGATGAGAGAGAGCTCTCTTCTTCTATAACATTTATATGGACAGCCACCAGAAGATGTGGCCCACGCTTCAATATGGTAGATATCCCTATAGCAAATTACCCAATCAAGGAAAATCCCTCATAGCTGTACCCAGCTGCTTGAGTGTTGGACACATCCAGATTTGTCAAGTTAAGAGCCAAGAATAGACATCATGGTTGCTTTACTTTGTTTTATTTCCACTTGTAATTGTTGTTCTTTCTCTTTTTCTTTCTTTCCTTCTTTCTTTTTGGTTTGTTTCTTTTTGTTTTTTTGTTTGTTTGTTTGTTTTTCAAGACATGGTTTCTCTGTGTAGCTTTGGAGCCTATCTTGGCACTCGCTATGGAGACCAGGCTGGCCTCGAACTCACAGAGATCTGCCTGCCTCTGCCCCCTGATTGCTGGGGTTAAAGGCATGCACCACCAATGCCTGGCTTGCTCTGCTTTCTTGAAGCTTAAATTCTATCAGAATTTTAAAAACTAGTTCTATAATGGTATTGCTTTAACTTTTTTGATATTATTGATGAAACTACAGAAATAATTTCAAACTTTTAGAAAATTTGTAAAAGAATAGAAGAAAAATGTTAAAAGCTTCTGCATATGTGTATGCTCTGAGACAGAGAAGACGAGAAGATGGGGAAGAAGAAAGGAAGACAGAGAGAGATGTCTTACTCTGTTCTCTCTGAGAGAGAGCAGTGTAAGACAGTACATTTTGTATTTTATACTTTTTAAAATTTATTCATTTAATTCAGAAACAATGTTATGTTACATGTCAATGCCAGTTCCCTCTCCCTCCCATCCTTCCCTGCCCCCCCCAAATCCTCTATTCCCCTCCATCCACTCCCCAGGGAGGGTGAGGCCTTCCATGGGGCATTATAAAAGTCTGTCACATCATTTGGAGCAAGGCCTAGGCTGTCCTCAGTGTATCTGGGCTGAGAGAGTATCCCTCCATAGGGAAGGGGCTCCCCAAATCCATTTGTGCACTAGGGATAAATACTGGTTTCACTGTCAGAGGACCCATAGACTGCCCAGGCCTCATAATTGACACCTACATTCAGGAAGCTTGATTCAGTCCAATGCTGGTTCCCCAGCTTTACAACTGGGTTCTGTGTTTTCTGTCAGCTGTTTCTGTGGGTTTCCCCAGCATGGTCTTGACACCCTTGTTCATCTGTTCTCCCTCTGTACAACTGAATTCCAGGAGTTTGGCTCAGTGCTTAGTTTTGGGTATCTGCCTCTACTTCCATCAGCTACTGCATAAAGGCTCTAGGATGGCATTTAAGGTAGTCATCAATCTCATTATAGGGAAAGGACATTTAAGGTAGCCTCTCCACTATTGCTTAGATTCTTAGTTGGGGTCATCCTTGTGTGGATGTCTGGTTATTTCCCTAGTATGAAATTTCTCTTTAAACTTATAATGGCTCCCTCTATTCAGGTATCTCTTTTCTTGCTCTCCTCAGTCTTCCTGATCCCTCATGTTCTCCTCCCTCCACTCCTAATTTTCTCAGGAGTTCTTGTCCTTTCCCTTTTTCCAGGGGACCATGTATGTGTCTCTCAGGGGTCCTTAATATTTCCTAGCTTCGATGGAAGTGTGGATTTTCGGCTGGTAATCCTTTGCTCTATGTATAAAATCCATATGAGAGAGTACATACCCTGCTTGTTTTTCTGTGACTGGGTTACCTCACTCAGTATGGTTTCTTCCAGTTACTTCCATTTGCTTGTGAATTTCAAGATTTCATTGTTTTTTCCTCGTAATAATACTCCATTATGTAAATGTACCAACAAATCTCCAACACAGTTTTTGTATATTTTAGATCCATTTGAAAGTTAGTTACAAACATTGTGACTTTACCAGAGATCATTGTCAGTATGTACCTCCCTCAACAAGAACACCTCTTAGACATGTGTGCTGTCATGCTCAAAGTCAATCAGTTAACATGATGATGTTTCTATGTTCCCCAGGACATGTTTAACAGTACTGTCCTGATACTTTTGTTAGAGAGCACTGATTTTCTGATGTCATATGCAATTGAGAAACCCTGTCTTGAAAAAACAAACAAACAAACACTCCAAAAAACAAGAACAAAAGTTTGATTTTGTTATTTCTTTGCCACAAGGGATTTATGTGGAATGTTCTTATGATCTTAACGCGTGTTTTATGTCAAATTAATTTTTTAGTTAATAATATTATTGGCACCAGGTCTTTCCATATAGCCCCTCCTGGTCTGAAGATATGTAGGCAGTCCAGTCATTATTATAACCCAGGATATTCTTCCTTGCCTCTTCCTCCAATTCTCTAGTGTTGGGGTTTCAGGCATATAGTACAATGTATGGCTTAGGGCTAATCTTTCATTTAGTGTTGCATCATAGCACTGATTCATGGGTTCTTTTGCATTGCCATAGCTAGTCTTTTTGCACCACCTTTTATATGTGACTTTGTGCTTTTCTTGATCATCTGGAGATGAAGGATATCTGAAACCATCTGATTTGGAGTGATTCCAGTCTTTTGTTTGCTACTGCTGTCTCAAGTTGAGTGTTGTCCTTTTAGGTCAAAGGCAGATTGGGGGAGAAGAAAACAGTTCAAACCTAATAATTAGATATTGTAGCATTGACACTTGAGATAAAGGACCTTAGGTCTAGGACCAATATTCATTGTATAGTGAAGGACTATTTTTCTGTAGATCCTCATTTTTCTAATCTAATAAGCAAGGGTTGTGGTATTTCTTTTTAATATAACCCAAATTTATAGGAGTTCTGTTTCATAGTAAATCTTATCAACAGTCCTCAAATATAAATGAGATTAGGTGACTCTGTCTGATTGCTTTGGGATTGTGGGGGAAGAACTTCATCTCAAACTTAATTTATCTAAGTGTATCATAATTTGAAAATCACTGAACTAAATAATTTTTAGGAAGTTTCAATCTGTAAATATATTGAGGTCTGTCTTTCAGTGGGAACAATGTAATTTAGTTTCAGTGGGGAAATCTGCTTCCTCAAAAACTCAGTTACTATTAAACATCAAAAACTAAATATTTTTAAGATTAGAATGAGCATACTGTGTGTGTAGTGTTTATTCCTTCCAACTAGGAAATTAACTGTTTGACATTTTTGTAAAAGAAAAGAGAACAGCACCAAGTAATGCTGACAGCCTATGTAGTCATCATACTTAGAAGGCATAATAGGCTGGGGATGTGGCTCAGTTGATAGAGTGTAATGATAATTCATAATGTCCCAGTGATTGATAGTCGGGTTAAAGCTTCAAGTTGAAGATCAGAAAAGCAAAGCAGCTGGCCACTAGTTCTTACCTCTACCTCAAGCAGAATGGATTGGTCCTGTCTCCAGGAGCTCTCAACAAGCCTCAGACTGTAATTTTTGCTCAGCATATCTGGAGAATGAATGCCTCTCTGAGACCTTGCTTCTGTTTTATATACTTC